TTCCCTATCCCACTGATATGGATAACTCGGATCCTGAACATTTGCGCAAGACCAGCCAGTCAAGCCCTGAGACAGAGAGTGAGCAGTGTCCCCTCATACTCATGGTCCAGCTTGTCCATCTGCATCCCTGATGCTTCAGCAAAAAACCACATTCACTGAGATGGATTGTAAGGGAGAGGGGGAGGAATCCCTTCCTGACCCTTGCAGGCTGACCGTCTGAATCCTAGAAGCATGAGCTTTTAGGAAGAGATGTCATAAACAGGAACTGATCCCCCAGGGCTGTGGGCTGCATTCATGAGCACTGTTGTCACACAGCGACACTCGCGAATTTGGGCAGCTCTTTCCGATGAAGTAGTTTGGATCCTCCTCTTGGCAGGCTGTTCCAGAACCTCACCCCTCTGCTGTCTAGAAACCTTCTTCTAATTTCCAGACTGAGTTTGTTCCGTTTATGCCCATTTGTGCTTGCGCCAGCATTGTCTTTCAATCTGTAAACCTCTTCACTCTCCTGGTGCTTGGTGCATTTATGGAGAGCAAACATATCCCCTCTCAGGCTAAACAAGCTGAACTTCTCCAGTCTCTTCTCATAAAATAGGCCCTCCATTCCCCTGATCTTCACGTCACTTGTTCCAGTTTGCGTTCGCCTTTCTGGGCCATTCACGTAGTGTTATTTCAATTAAAGCGCAGCCCGTAAGGGTGCGTCTACGCTGTACCCATAGCTACAAATAAGCTACGCAATTTGTGCTGCACAAATTGCATAGCTTGTTGTGAGTCAATTTGGAAATAGCTTATTTCGACATTTGGCGCTGTCCACACAGCACTTATTTAAAAATAAATCGCTATTCCGGAACGTCCCTTACTCCTCGTGGAATGAGGTTTGCAGAGTCGTTGGAATAGCGAGCCTGTTATATTTTGAAATAACGGGCATGCTCAGAAGGTGCAGAATAGCTATATATCCAGTATCCCGAAATAGCGCTGCAGTGTAGTGTGCTTTAGATATCATACCTCGGTGGGGCGCCTTTCTGTATCGTGTAACTGTGCCCTTAAGAATTGCACAGTGGAGCTCTTAATTTGCACGGCTACTGATGTCGACAGTGGGCTTAATCTTATTCGCTCCAGCTACAATATTTAACTGCCACAGTGAGTTCCCCAGGTTGGTTTGTGGCCTGGCTGAAGAAATTTTTTTTGGATTCTATAGTTCTAGCTTTGTAGTGTCATTAGATGTCTGCATTACTGCAATATAATGGGATGTGGGCGGAATGCTGGGGGATTGATCAGTTTTCACTATGTCTTCATGTAACCCACACACCTTCTGGGTGTGGTTCACTGTCCCATGTAGGACCACTTCCTGTGTGTGAGAGTGAGTTTGCTCTATAGAATTAGCTGGGAGCCTGCTGGCTTTTAGCTCCAAGGGGTAGAGGCTCATGCACTAACCTCCAGAGGTCCCAGACTTAGTTCCACCTGTTGGTGTTATGCTCACTCTTGCGGTGTGATCAAATGATTGTGTTGCATTTTATGATGTTTGCATTTGCATGGTAGCTCATTCTCCTGGGTTTAATTAATGTATCAGACATTGAACTGATGCATGCAGGATGAATAGCATGGGCGACCCATTAGCATACAGCATTCAGCTGGGGTCTTTTGCTATGGGATGTTTGTGTGTGGGGGGCTATGGGGGGTGCAGGGGCCCATGTGCTGTGGGGACAGAGGGGTCATGGGGGGAGTGACGAGAGCTGTTCGGGTGACTGGGAACCCCCTTCATGCACATT